CCAAATGTAGTTCATAGCTTGTCCTGTACACCTCGATGTTGATTGGTTCTTGTTGACCTTAAACCTGTCATTGTTTACTTCTTTGTTTTGGTTGTATCTCCCATTGATTTGATTCTTGGTCTTATATTTAGCCATAGTTTTCCTGATTGGTTGATAAATGGAATCGATTGTTTATTGCTGATTGTCCTGAATGCCAAGCTTCTAAAAAATCTCTGGTGTTTTTGGAATTGCTTTTATCCAAAATCTCCAAATTTTTCCAGTCGAATATATGTCCACAGTTGTCCACTTGCATGGATATAAGTGAGGACATGTCATGGTGTTTGACCGCTAATTGATGTTGATGCAGGTGAAGATGAAGCGGGTGTCCGCTTTGTGACTTTTTTTTACACTGTGCATTTAAACATACAAACGCATAGATTTTCAGTTTATTAGGATTGTGATTGGTAAGTGTTTTTTTAATGCCTACTGTGAGAGAGAACAAGCCAACCAAATTAGGAAAAGACATTAGAAGTCGATAAGACACACATTGAGGAAATCATCAAACTACATCACGAGGCAACCCTCAGATCGGAATCGTGAAGGGAAATGTAAAACAGAAAGACTAAAGAACATATCGCGTTGAGAATTGGAAGCATACATGAAAAGGATGAATAGTAACTAGATAGGATTGTTCAGGAGAGAGTTGGATGAAGAATACTGGTGAACAGTTTATACTCTTCCACAGGGGTGGGATAACAGGCGTAAGTAAGTAAGAATTGTGAATAACATTAAAATCCAAGATGTTCTTTACTTCCTATTCGTAACTTGTCAAATGGAAGCAGATCATATCATGACAATCCACTTAAATTGAATACTTAGTAACAAAAAAACGTTAACATTTATCAAATTGATGAAGAAAAAAATAGGTATACTGGTTGAACAAACCAAACCAAAAAAGAAACTGTATGAAACTTTAAACGAACATTAACAAAAAGTAGATTAAAACAAACAAAACCCAGCGAAGTTTTGCTAAGTCAGTTTGTACTTTGTGCCAAATGAATAAATCTTAAAATAATGAAACAGCTGACATAAATCTGTGACATTATCATAGATGGCATAGATGGCACACACAATTTTGTATCCAAGTTATATAATCATGTTTGTTTGTTTTTTAGTGCATAATTATGTGTAACCTTTAGATGTACAAAGAGAGACACAGAGATAGGGAGAGAGGGGGGGATGAAGGATTATAAGTTGTTTGTATAATATATGCTATAATTGGTGATTAGTGTATACCTTTCATTCATCACCTAATCCTCTCTCTCACTGTCGCTCTCTCTCTTTCTCTTTCACGTATGCACACACACACACATACTTCTTCATACTTTGTTTCATTCAATTTTGCACACTTCTATTCTTTACCTCCTATTCATTATGAATGAATTTTTATTGTTATTCATTTGTAACTGTCATATATTCGTTGATATTTTGTCACAAATGTTGTTTATAATGATGAGGATGATGATGATGATGATGATCATCATCATCATCATCGTCATTCTCATCATTTGGTTACCTTTATCAATTTGTTGTTGTTGTTGTTGTCGTTGTTCCATATACAATTAGGAATTACAATTATAAACATAATAATAACAGTGAATAGGTTATTGTCAATGATTTAGATTCACCTTAGTTGTTTCATATTCTAACACACAAGTACACGTATATACAAATCTATGCTACGAATATATATGTATATTGTATGGAGTGGAAACGCGGAGAACTACTAAAGTCATCATCCAGAAGATACAAGTCGTTGTTAACAGTTGTCTATACAAAATACTTCGGATCCGTTGGCCGGACACTATTAGCAACAACCTACTGTACGAGAGCGAATAAACCATATCCTAGAAGAGGAAGAAATCAGGAAGAAGTGTTGGAAGTGGTTAGGAAATATATTGAAGAAATCACTCAACTGTGTCACAAGGCAAGTCCTCACTTGGAATCTTCAAGGTCAAGGCAGGAGAGAATGATCAAAGAACACAGTACGCCCAGAAATGAGAATAAACAGCAATTGAATAGAACTAGAAAGGAAGGCTTAGGATAGAGTGGGTTGGAGAATGCTAGTCGATGGTCTATGCTCCACTGGGAGTAACAAGTGTAATTAAATAAGAAAGTAAGTAATTGTCGATAACCGTATGATCGGTCAATTAGTGAATGTTCTTCCAATGAAAGTTTAAAGTGAGAAAAACGTAACAACAACAATAGTCTATTCTCTTTAAAGAAGGTTACAACTGAAGGATGTTTACTGTGCATGGAAATAAAGTGAACAAGATTTAACAAGATCTCTTATTCAGTATATCTGTGTACAGTTTATCACCAAGCCTAATCATAAACTGATCAGTTATCTAATATATTATGATTTGAACTAGACAACTCAAGAATTTAACCGAGTGGTAAATGTACTGAAGTTTAGTTAACTGAATACCTTTAAAGATGATCAAGTACAACAATAAATAATTCAAATAAGAATGATATTTCACTTGGTGTCGTTTTATTTGTATCTTCGCATTTTTATTTAGGACTGCAATTGATCAGTCTGTTATTGGCATATGTACATACTGTGCGTATTGCCTCGATATTACCTTAATTCACAAGCATTATAAGCGAAGATGGATGGATAGTGGTTAGCAATGGGATACAGTTTGACGCACGTTTCGTCTTATTTAAGACTCGTCAGATGGATATATCCGCATCTCAGAGCTGATAGCCACTCTAGGACTGGAATCCAATACCATACACTTTAAACGCCTTCACCTTATCCACAAAATTACTGAGTCCTGATAGCCACTTGTTTGCAGTTATAAACATCAATGGGAAGATTCAAGTAAACAATACCAAATGAATTTCAACTTCATTACATTGGACAAGTTAGTGGCTAACAGGACTCACTAGCAAAGTGGATAACATGATGAAGTTTGAGGTGAACGGTACTGGGTTCGTGTCCTAGAGTGAACATCAGCTCTGAGATGCAGTTACATCGATCTGACGATTCCGCTATTAGCCACCATCCATCTTTGCTTGTAAACTATTCAAGTATATACTAAAAATTTAGTACTAGAAGAGATATTTAAATGAGACTGAAAACATTTTGAAGTTAGTTTTTAGTAGATCAGTGCCTATATTTTTAACACATATTCACTAAAATCTTTATATCCTCCTAAACGTCGGCATTCATTTAACTTATTATTTATTATTGTCAGAAAGGCGGTTTCGTAGATGCTCACTGCTGAGGAGTCTCAAACTGAAACGAACGGCCGTTTAGTGATTCCAGGTTTCCCATGGTGGTTTAGCTTCAATTGACTCCTGAATTCAACTATTATTTATTATTGTTATATCATCTATCCTTAAATTAGTTAGAAACTTGTTATACAGAGTTATGTTCATGGTCCATTGTGATCTATCAGTTAATATACACAATCATGTAAATTTTCTGAGTTAATAATATACGAACTAAATTAGCTACTTTTTCTCAATTTCTGATTGAAATTTTGTTGAAGAGATCGAGAAAACTCCTCGAAAAAAGCTCTAAGAAAACTGAGAAACATCTTATCCAATTAACATTCAATAGAAGACTAGTCACATAATGCGTTTCTGATCGGATGACTGCCTATACTACTACTACTACTACTACTACTACTACTACTACTACTACTACTACTACTACTACTACTACTACTACTACTACTACTACTACTACTACTACTACTACTACTACTACTACTACTACTACTACTACTACTACTACTACTACTACTACTACTACTACTACTACTACTACTACTACTACTACTACTACTACTACTACTACTACTACTACTACTACTACTACTACTACTACTACTACTACTACTACTACTACTACTACTACTACTACTACTACTACTACTACTACTACTACTACTACTACTACTACTACTACTACTACTACTACTACTACTACTACTACTACTACTACTACTACTACTACTACTACTACTACTACTACTACTACTACTACTACTACTACTACTACTACTACTACTACTACTACTACTACTACTACTACTACTACTACTACTACTACTACTACTACTACTACTACTACTACTACTACTACTACTACTACTACTACTACTACTACTACTACTACTACTACTACTACTACTACTACTACTACTACTACTACTACTACTACTACTACTACTACTACTACTACTACTACTACTACTACTACTACTACTACTACTACTACTACTACTACTACTACTACTACTACTACTACTACTACTACTACTACTACTACTACTACTACTACTACTACTACTACTACTACTACTACTACTACTACTACTACTACTACTACTACTACTACTACTACTACTACTACTACTACTACTACTACTACTACTACTACTACTACTACTACTACTACTACTACTACTACTACACTACTACTACTACTACTACTACTACTACTACTACTACTACTACTACTACTACTACTACTACTACTACTACTACTACTACTACTACTACTACTACTACTACTACTACTACTACTACTACTACTACTACTACTACTACTACTACTACTACTACTACTACTACTACTACTACTACTACTACTACTACTACTACTACTACTACTACTACTACTACTACTACTACTACTACTACTACTACTACTACTACTACTACTACTACTACTACTACTACTACTACTACTACTACTACTACTACTACTACTACTACTACTACTACTACTACTACTACTACTACTACTACTACTACTACTACTACTACTACTACTACTACTACTACTACTACTACTACTACTACTACTAAAGGATGTTGAGTAGGTCAATCAATGTTAGCTTATCTGATCAATAAATCGGGATCATTCAGTATTATTGTATAAGTATAATAGAATAAGTTTCAATCAAAATATTCATATTGATTAGATGTAATATACTACTTACTAAATCCATCCATATAATTGTTGTCAACACTTGATTTTTTTCATCCTAAATACAAAATTAAATTAAAAAAACAAACAAATTATATTTGCAATAAGAAAAAGCATAATTGACTGTTAATATAAATGGTTTTCAGATTTTGTACATGAACTAGTACAATTTAGATGGTAGTTGGAGGTAGTCAACAGGAAACCCTGGACCCGGGTTTCGTGCTACTTGGCACTCGTCAGCAAGGTGTACCTGTAATATTGAGGAAACTGGTTCACCTTGCTGACGAGTGCCAAGTAGCACGAAACCCGGGTCCAGGGTTTTCTGTTGACTACCTCCAACTACCATCTAAATATCAATACATAGTCCCCTCAGTGTCGAGTCACCTAGACTGGTGGCTACATTGCAACATGATCGATAGCATTCGATCTGCACTAATAAGGACTAGACAAGCATGACATTGATCACCACCCAGTGATCAATCAATTGTGAACTAGTACAATTCTATTGTGGATTATACTTACAAGTTGTCCTTAAGTGTTATTCATTCTTTCAATGTCTGTTTGTAATTTTGGGTGTAGTTTATCTTTGGCTTTTCCCTTTTACCATGAGGAGTTCTAGTTCAAGGATGCCTTGTTGATGTAGTTTGATGATTTCAGCAGTTTGTTTGTTCTCTGTCACGGTAGGCAATTGTTGGTGGTATTCGGTCAGTGAATCTAGATTATCCCGCTTAGACATCTGTTTGTAAATATTCTATATCTTTTTGATGATGGTATTAGTAGTAGTTAAATCACTGCCCACTATTCTGTATTTTAGAACCTAGCTTTTTCTTTTGTGTATGTCAAGACCTACGGCTGCAGTAGGTGCTGCTACACTGGCTGTCTTCACGTACATTTGTTGGTGTGTGTGTGTGTGGGATAGAAGGGATAGGTTTTATATGAAGTTCGAATTGTCTAATTACATCTAAACTGTCGATTGTATTTCGCGCTTCCTTTCAGATGTGAAGGTCTTCATAATTCAGTCAACCACCAAAAAAAGAGGAAGTGAGAGAGGGTAAGCAACCTTGTCTGACACCGGTCTTCACTTGGAATTCATCCTTCAACGAATATTTTTTTCATGCATATCAGTAGTCTGATCAGAATATATTTACTTCAGTAAATAATGTTTTACTCTAAACATCTGTCAAACACATAGAAGTTTCATCAGACATCGGAAGAAATAACTTGAGTAAAAAAAACATGTGGCGACCTGTTCTCAAACCTCTGGACCACTAATTTTCCATCGATTATCAGAATTTTCCCGCTTTTAGACTTGTTTAAATCAACCAATTACGTTTATCAATCGCATATACTTAGGTATATTCAAGAAATATTTTCATTATGTCACAAATCAAATTGCTGAAAAGCTCAAGATCTACTATCAAGTTGATTTGATTATTTCCCTCTTTCTCTTCTGTCTTTTGGATAACCGAGTAACGATCACCATAGAATGGGCATATAAAATATATTTTAGGATTAAAAGAGATGTTATCACGACAAGGTGGTATGTTAAAAATTGATCGATTACTAAGTAGTGACTTTCCTTCTTAGTGCTGATCGAATCGTGTCGATCAGTTAGCAATGTGACCAGTAGTCTAAGTGACTCGTTATTACGCGCACTATACAGAGATGTGAGGTGGTGGTCAAAGGTAGTCGACAGAAAGCCCTGAACATAGGTTGCATTCAACTTGGCACTCATTTGCAAGATGTACCCGTAATCTTGATGGGACTGATGCTCACTAGCGAATTCGATTCCATAAATACGAACTTCATAGACACGGGATCGAATAAGCCAGGAAGCTTAGATGTACATATAAGAATTTCTCCACAGTTCTCTGTCATATATATCGTACACATTGTATACCTTTTGAGATAAATTGTATTTACTGATTGCATAATCTACTCGAGTGATCTTACAAGAAGCTTACCTAACACTTTGGTCTGATATTAAGATAGTAAATGTATTCCATCAATTACAATTTCATTGAAGAATTTCATTCCTACACTTAATAATCACTGAGTAACAATCCCTATCCATATGAATAGAGGCCATATCACAACTTCATTGATAGTAACCAATCAAATCGGTTAGTTAAGTTTAATACATCAGTAGTAAAAGACATCAATCATAGTCCGAGTAGCTCATTGGTATTGTGATGTGTGTTACTGATATCGACAGATATAAGTAGTATGTATCATCAATAGAAAGTCAAATATCCGGTGGCAGAAGGTTAAGAAAGTCGAAGAAAAAAGAATGAGAACAAAGAATAATTGATATGAAAATAAAAGAACAATAAAGTCTTAGACGATCGATTAACATTATACAAATGAATGGTTCTTAGACTTTACTAAGATACTCTGTTCTGTTATGTTCAAATATATTCGATTGTCCCCCGCTACAGTATCCTGAATGATCAAAACAATAATTGATTCCAATTCTAATCATGCATATTATAATAGTTATTGAAAATCTTAAGACAAAGCTTGTTAACAATTGGCAACTAATCATTTAAAACTTAAGTTTTCTTACAAATCCTTCCAATCATTCAATATTGAACTCTCCCTCCCAACCACCCAACCAACGAACCCCCACCCCACCCCTTGGCCCCTTCTCAAACTCATCCCCCCCCTCTTTTTCATATTTAATATCAATTGATGATTTCTAATTTATGGGTTACTAATCAAGTATCCTTGAAAACGATTCATCAATCATGTAAAAAATTTTCTCTTCGATAAAAAACACAGAAAAAAGAAGAATAAAGTAGAGAAAAGAATGTTCTCTTGTTTTTTTGAAGTTTTTCTCTTCCTTATTCCTTTATTCACATTTATGTCAAGACGAAAAAAATCGTATATAACGTTGTAAAAGTGAAACTATCAAGTGTTATTCACTGTTCAATTGGTTAGAAACCATTGACTTGAAGATATTTCCCTTTAAAAGAGTGTGTGTGTATATAGATATATATTAAATACAGATACTTGATTAAATGTTTTATAAAGAAGAAAATATATATGGGTCAATTGTAGCTAGATCATTATGACAAACCTGGAAGCACTGGATGACCGTTTTTGTCTTTTTATGGGGTTCCTTAGTAATGCGTATCCACGTAATTGTATCGCGAGATTTCAACCCATGACCTGTTGGTCTCATGTGTGAGCGCTTAACCTGTAGACTACTGTGTTGGCATCCAACGGTGTTAATGTTTAACTTTAAACAATCCATGAAATTGTGCCACCATCCATTATTGTTATCAGTGAGTTACTATCTCACAACAAACACGGTTGAATTCCACTTGTCACGGCTTTTCACTAGAACTCCAAGAAACACCTCTTGGAGACCATCAATAGTGAGCATATGATGATTATAACAAGAGAGGGGTGTTGTTGATATTATAGTAATTTAGTAATGGAATTTCGTTGGATACTGGCTAAGTGGTCTAGAGGTTAAGCGCTCGATCACGAGACCAAGAGGACGTGGGTTCGAATCTTGCAATGTGGGATCGTTTGATGCGCACTGCTGAGGAGTCACATAATAAGATGAAACAACCGTTCAATGCTTCTAGGTACTTCATGGTGATCTAGGCTCAATTGACTCATTGATTTGACTATTAAATTACTATAATATCCACAGGAACCCTCTGTCAAAAAATTTATACAGTAAAATGATATCATCCTGAACTTTAATTCAGTTAGATATTAACACCGTTAGATGTTGTTTCAATGGCCTATAGGTTATGGCCTTTCCCCGCGGGTTCAAATCCCTTTCGTGAGAGATCGTGGATGCACACTGCTCAGGAATCGTATATGAGGACGAAATAGTCTTCCATTGCTTCCTGATTTTCAATGCTCATCTAACATTAATTGATTCATGATCTCAATAAAAAAGACTTAACAATCTACACAACCCTATCCTGTTAGTTGATTAATTTGAATGGATTAATATCAAACTTCAATCGTCTAGATGTTCAATTTGAAGTAGATTGGAAACAAATGAGATTAACCTTTCGTAGAAAATAGTTTGAGATACTGAATGAACAAATACAGTCTGTTCTAAGGCATGTTAACTTATGAGTTGCATAGTCCATATTGCTTTTGACATAGAGTTTAGATTAATATCCTTTTTCTCTACTTAATTACTAAGTGTCATTTGGTTGTGATCAACATCTTTTGTACAAGTGATAAGCATTTAGTTTGAAGCATGATTCAGTAGGAACACCAATTTCCTCAGTTTGATAAGAGAGGCATATTCACCTTCCCTTTATACTACATCACAGCCTTTATAACATACCATGTTTATCAACTGATATAAAATTGAAACCTTAGTATCAATCACATCGGAAGTCTCTACGATATAAAATTAATCAAATCACTTCATGACCTGATCTAAAAATAGTTTGTACAACGAGTTCATTTTCTGTGTTATATATATATATACACTCCATTGTATGATCTAGTAGCTATCAGGACTCAGTAGCTAAGTAAATAAAGCAATGACATTTAAAGCGAACGGTACTAGTTTCAAGTCCCAGAATAGGCATCACCTCTAAGATACAGTTACACCCAACTGACGAAGCTCTAATAGGACGAAACCCACATTCCGTCTTCCACTACTAGGTCCCAAACGTCCTGGTACGGTCGAGAGTGTGGAGAGTCCGCACTCCCTCTCGAAATGTTTTCACATGGCCACGCGTATATAGCCTCTGCCAGGGAAATCCTACTCACTGCCTTTTCGTATCGCGGGTGCTGTTTACCAAGTTGAGAGGACGAAAAGCGAATGTCCGATGGGGACTTTAACCTGGTTGGTGGACACGGTGAGTCCACCTAGGGGAGTTGAGAATCCCTGATTCCAAACCAATGGTGTACATGGGCTCCAGTATCCTGACAGAACTAATAACGTAAGAATCTGTTTTTGGTCAATGGTTACCATCAGACTGCATCTCCTGACATTGCTCCACTGCCTTGTGGATCAGACCTTTAGGTCTAAGGCTCCGGGTGTGGCCCCATTAGAAAACCACCTGCTTCGGTTCAGGCACTCGGGCAGTATCATATCCCTCACACGAATCTAATGAGGTTTGTGTGTCGCATATATATTTGGTGCCCCCTTGTACCAATATCTTTTGCTTATAATATCAAATGAATGTTTATTATTATGAGTATCGATAAACGAATTTCAACTTACCACATCCATAACTTGATTTAAGAAAAATTTCACACTAACATTCAATGTCTCTGTATCATTTGCTGATGGACGTTCAATTGGATTATGTGCATCTGGTCGACTGGAATCGAATAAATATTTTAATAAACGTTTTTCATATAATCCAGATAAGACAATATCTTTAAACAGAAAGATAATAAAGAAGAGAAGCGAAAGCTGAAGGAAGAATATCATAGTTAAAATGAAATCATATACATAATCTTTAAATGGTTGAATAGTCTAATTAAGTAAACATATGAAATCAGAAAGAGGTTTTGTGGAGATTGTGATAATCTCAATCGTTGAGATCATGAATCAATTGAAGCTAGATATTAACATCGTTGGATGCCAACTAAGTGATCTAGAGGTTAAACGTTCGCGTTCAAGACTGATAAGTCGTCGGTTCGAATCCCACGAGGTGAGATTGTGGATGCGCACAGCTAAGGAATCCTTAACTAGGACAAAATGGCCGTCCAGTACTTCTAGGTTTTCCATGGTGGTCTAATATAGATCGTTTCATGAACTCAATACCAAAGCAACACAATCATAACATCAGTCCCTAGAGTAATCAATTATGTTAAACAGCTCAACTAATTTATAAGTTTCCAAAATATCTGAGTTTTTTTCTAAATAAATCGGATTATTTGGCAACAGTACTTGATTGTATATGTTCAAGTGTGTGTGTATATATGTATCAGTGTAATTCATTGACTGATATTCAATTCTCAGTGAGACTACAATTTATGGACAACCTTTGACCGACGCCAGCATGACCTTGAGAGTGTCGACCTAGTTACTAAGTCTGAATGAGGGTTATAAACCAGTGTGAGGAATTAGCATTATGATTCATAATTGATGGTTATGGGTTTTGAATTAGATTTAAGGTTTTCATGACGATAACTTAATGAAATATCCAGATGGTAGGAATAGGTTACACAAAGCAAACCACCGAATTTACATCACAGTTAGATATCGATTACGTTTTTGTTTCATAATGTATAAATATTGATTTGTGCATAGATATGTTTGTGGTGAGTGACCAACTGTCATCGACATTGATTATAAAAACAGGGAATTTAATCTATGGAAGACAACTTACAACATTTGTGTTATTGATGCTTGTTCTAAAATCAAGAAGCACTAAGGATGTAGACTTGATCATTGATGGGTGCGTACTACTAGAGTTTTGCATATTAAGGTTGAATAGCTGTTTTGTACTTCTATGTTTACAAGTAAGTTCATAGTGTAAACTGTTATTTATATCATTATGGGAATTTATGGATATGATAGCACTTTCATAGTTGAGTTCATGAATCGATCTATATTAGATCACCATGGAAAACCTAGAAGCACTGGATGGCCATTTTGTCCTATTTAAGGCCTCCTCAGCAGTGTGCATCCACGATCTTGCACCAAACCGACTCCAACATAGGACATTCAGTTTGGAACGTCAACAGTTAACTTCTAAACTGTTGAACCGGCGCCTAGCGATGTTAATATCTAACCTTGATTGATCAACTTCAGTACCATAATGCTCTTTCATCAAATGAATGAATAAATATCCCTCCAATATTCAAGACTTCTCATCTTAAATCTGATTGGTTCATTCATAACTAACAGATTTTCTGTTCTATAACTTACATGTATCATCCAATAATGGAACAACAACAACAACAACAACAACAACAACCAAAAAAAGAATCAAACGTTTAAACAAAATACACAAAAAGAGAACCCGGATTCAATCATGACAATAATTGAATTATACTATTCGAACTACATAATTTATGAAAAAGGAATTTAACTAGAAAAAAATTCTCTACTTGACAACAAAAGAAACACCACCAAATATCTCTATGACGAAGTCATTGTAAATCTAATTATCTAGTTAATTGAACTAATCAATTTTTAGAATTGAATAAATCTTATTAGAAAAAGAGAGGGGGACGTTGTAGAGATGTTTAGTGATTTTTAATAGTTGAATTCATCAGTTCAATAAGGCTAAATGATTCTGGAAAATCTGAAAGCATTGAATGACGATTTTGTCCTCGTATGAGACTCCTCAGTAGGCTGCATCTACGATGATGATTTCAATTGAATATTCATAATTTAATCGTATGTTAGTTAGAATTAAGTAAATTACTGTTGTGTTTTTGTGTGTTGATTAAAACTACGTATAGATGTGATTCAATGATTTCCCTTGTAAAACTTATATGATCTGATATCGAACCATAATATGATCCACACTAAATTGATAGAAACCTTCAGTGTTTTCTGGTTTTAAATAGTTCTTTAATTACAGTCAGTTCATGTTGTAAACTATGAGAAAAATGTTAGTAGGCGATAGTGTTTGATGCGAACGATACTGAGTTCGAGTCTTAGAGTGAACATTCAACTCTGAGATTCACGTACATCCAGCTGACGAGTTCCAAATAAAACGAAGCGCGTGTCAAATTGTATTCCACTGCTAGCCACTATCCATCCATCTCCGCTTATAATGCTTGTGAATTAAGGCAATATCGAGGCAATACGCACAGTATGTACATATGCCAATATGAGACTGATCAACTGCAGTCTTAAACCTCAATAGGAAGATACAAGCCAAACAATACCAAGTGAATGTTGATAGACTGTTAAGAAAATTTTGAGGAAATGAGAAAAGTTCTTTGTTTTCATCATATATTGAAGATGATAACCTTGAAGGTGTTAAATAGTTTTTCTTTTAATGAAAATCATCGAACTACATCAAAAGAAAACCTCGAAATTGAATTCCTCAAAGCAAAAGAAAAACTGGATAACCAAAAGACACATTGATTTGAATTCAGAGACAGACACCGAAAGGATGAATACGACATAGGGATGACTGGAATGTAGAACCCACAACACAGAAGGTCGGGATTCACTGGTTTATGGCTTGTATACTACGAGATGTAGCAGGTGTATGTATGTATAACATATAGATTATAGCTGGATGTAACATGGAAATAGGTTTCGTTGATTTTCAATTTATTTTAGAGGTCAGTTTGTTTCATCTGAAAGTATAAGCCTATCAATTTGTCATTTATTCTATGGTTTACAAATCCAATAAATTCATTACCTCAAACGTAGGAAATATATATGTTTTAGTGAATAGCCAAACATATACAACATCACAATAATAGGCGTCAAATGAATAATTGTCCCATTTAAAGATACATCCTACCTTTACTGAATTCGGTCGTTAAGTAGTGCTGAACATCACTTTTGTCTATTACATACTGTAGGGTGTGCTACTGATGTCGACAGATATAAGTAGTATGTATCAATAACGGAAAGTGAAGATCAAAGGAAAGAAAATGAGACCAGAGAGTGATTGGTATGGGAACGAAAGAACAATGAAGTCTGAGACAATCTCATTGTCATCAGATTTTACGAAGAGAGTTTAAAATTTTATGTTCAAATGTATTTGATTGTCTCTACTGGTGTTCTCCTTCACTACAATAATACTAACTGGCAATCTAATCAGTAGTCTAAATAACTCAGAATTGCATACAATACATATAGAGGTTAAACAAATGTGAAATTGATCTATTAGATACCTTAAATCTAAAGCTGATGATTTCATTCTGATTATTGTGTAAAACATCTTATGGATTACTTTTAATGACACTACATTTCAACACCATGCTGAGGAGTCTCATACTAGGACGAAACAGCCGTACAATGCTTCCAAGTTTTCCAATGATGGTCTTATTGAAATCGACTGATGAATTCAACTGTTAAACACTTTTTTAACTATTGATTAATCATAATTATCTTGATCATTCATCACAAAAAACAAAAAAAGAACACATCCAATCGATACTAAGAAAAGATAAACCAGGACCTAGCTGAAAAGCAAATTTGGAAATGATGTTGCAAATGGATGAGATATACATTACCGAAATCATCAAACTACATTACGAGGTAAACTCTAAGTTGGAACCCTAAATAGAAACCAGAAAGAAGCGAACCGAAAAACACACTATGTCGACAATTGAAAGCAGACATGAAAAGGATGGATAGCAACTGGAAAGAAATGGACAGGATTACCCACGACAGAGTTAGATAAAGAATGCTGCTGAATGGTCCGTCCTCCTCGAAGAGGATCAACAGGCGTAAGTAAGTAAGTAAGTAAGTAAGTGAGTAAGCAAGTAAGTAAGTGGATGAGTGCGTAAGTATTTAAGTCAGTGAGTGAGTGAGTGAACGAGTGAGTAAGTAAGTAAATTTCAATCATTATCCCTTGAAAATAATCAGATCAAACAATCAATATGGAATGTTCAATATAATTCAGAATCATCATGTAAAACTGAATTAACAAATAACAAATGGAAAGAACTGGGCAGGATTATCCACGACAGAGTTGGATGGAAAATGTTGCTGAATGGCCCATCCTCATCGATGAGGATCAACAGGCGTAAGCAAGTATGTGTACATATATATATGGGTTTTGTGGATATTATAGTAATTTCAATGGTTAAGATCCACAAAACCCATTTGATATTAATCAACATATGCACACTAGTGACTGACTTCAAGAGATATATCCTGGAGTTCTAGTGAGAAGTCGTGACCAGTTGAGTTCAATCAGGTCTGTTATGAGATAGTAACTCACTGAAGACAATGGTGGATGTGTCGTTCAATTTCGTGGATTAGTTGAAGTTACACATTAACACCGTTGGATGCCGACCGGCTTAATGGTCTAGTGGTTAAGTGCAAAACCACTAGGTCTTGAGTTCGATTCTCTCAGGTGGTGAAGTCATGGACGCGCACTGCTGAGGAGTCTCACAATAGGATGAAACGGCCGTCCAGTGTTTTCAGGTTTTCCATGATGGTCTAGCTTCAACTGACTGAAGATCTCTTAACCATTGAAATTTCTAAATATATTTCCTTCGTTTTTTTTATTCTTCCTATGAAATAAATAAAAATTAACTATAGAATTCCATAAATCTCATTTAAGTTAAACACATTTATATTAATGATGAATGAAACGATTCAAATTATGAGCGCGATTTCATTTTCAAATTGTGCGCTCAACTAAACTTATTTGTTATTCTTGTTTGTTTGTTTATTTATTTATTTTTTCTTTCTTTCTTTTTTTCTTTCTTTCTTTTTTTTCTCT